TATATGTAAATGCAGGTAAGTCTCTCTCTATATGTATATGAAATCAGGATACTTGAAATGATCTATTTAAAGCCTAGGCAAGCGAGCGCCGTTCCAGGGAATCAGTCCTTGTGGAAATTCCCGTCTCCCTATGAGCTGAGTGTAAATCTCAGTAAGATTTCAGACTCCTCACTTACGCTTCAATCAACTGTGAAAAATATTTAATGTAACTTTTATATTGTTTTCCACTGAGTTTTGGTTGTGTTTACAGGTGTGAACTACAGAGAGTCATATTGAAGCCTTTGAGCAGTTCAGACTGAAATCATGCATTGACTTTAAGCCCAGAGCGGCAGAAGAGTTTTACATCTCAGTGGAGAGTCGTGAAGGGTTAGTCATAGATTATAGACTCTTCTGATGTGGAATAAAATAGTTCAAATATTTCAGTTAATTATTTACCAATCAAAAGTCTGACACTTATAATTTGACAGTATAATTAGACTGGCGGCTTTATCCGTGTGAATGCCTCATGTTGCAGGTGTTGGTCACACATCGGACGCACGTCTCCCGGAGGCCAGACTCTTTCCATTGGGAATGGCTGTGGAATAAAAGCCATTGTTGAGCATGAGTTTCTCCATGCACTGGGACTCTACCATGAGCAGACGAGATATGACAGAGATGATTATGTGACAATCAGATATGAAAACATCCTCAAAGGTTTACTTTGAAAATAGTCAGTGTATTAATTTGCTTTACATCCTGAGTGTCAATATTACTAAAGAGAACTAAGAGAAAATAAGCCATTCCTCATGATCAATCATCTTAATAACTGCAATACTATTTATTTTCAGGTTATGAGAGTTATTTCAATAAATCCAGTGAGAACGTGTCCAGCACCCCATATGATTATTACTCTGTGATGCATTTTGATCAAAACGCCTTCAGCAACGGTAATGGATCCACGATCATTACCAAGCGTCCTGAGTTTCAAGATGTGATCGGACAACTAATGGAGATGAGTGAATATGATGCGATTGAGCTCAACAAACTCTATAAATGCAGTAAGTATTTGACCGTTTTTCATTTGTGGCCTTTAATGTTTTGTTTCTTGTCAATTTGTGGATTCTGTGTAAGACTAAAATGAAGTTGCGGTTGCTGGATATCTCATCCGGACCGATATTTGATGCCAGGGAGACCAAGGATCATTGTGATGAGCTGAAGTTGTAATGCATTGATTTAGTCTCAGTGTTTGTTTGCAGATTCCTCCATCTCTTTCCTTGACCACTGTAGTTTTGATGATGAATCTCTGTGTCAGATGAGTGTCTGTTCTGCTGCTGAGTACGGCTGGCAGAGACTGTCCGTGAGTGACATCAATGTGACTGACCACAGCTACTTGGGCAAAGAGCAGAATGGTGAGAAAACCCCTTGACTTCCATCCACAGTCACTGTCCACCCAGTTCCCCAAACCACACACCTGTCTTCATGCCTGCAGGGACGTCTTTCTTCATGCACTTCAGCACTGAGGGCAGAAACCAGGGGGACTCGGCCAGATTGGAGAGCAAGACACTGACCCCTACAAGAGACTGCATAGTCCAGTGCCTCCAGTTCTACTACTATCACAGCGGCGATGAGTCTGACCAGCTCAATATCTGGATCCGAGAGTACCAGGATGAAGCAGACAGCAGAGGAACTCTCAGACTTATGGATCGGGTCACAGGTCCGTCTCTTCCTGCAGAACTCATATAGGTCTTTATTTCAGTGTCACTGACCGCTTCTTTTCTTGCAGAAACCCCTGGTAATTACTGGAAGCTGCATCACGTGCAACTGAACGCAAATACATCTTTCCAAGTTGTATTTGAAGGCCGTAAAGGAGCTGGAAACTCCAGTGGAGGATTCTCACTGGATGATATCAATGTTTCAGAGACCGAGTGTCCCATCACATGGCAGATAAGGGACTTTGAGAAGCTGTCGAAGAATACTTTTAGATTATTTAGTCCACTGTTTTACTCCAGTGATGGTTATCGCTTTGGGGCAGAGTTAATTTTTGAAGAAAATAAACTTGAAATACGTGTTGGTATGGTATCTGGTGCATATGATGAGCAGTTGCAGTGGCCTTGTCCATGGAGACAAATAACTGTCCAGATCCTTGACCAGAATCCACACATCCAGAAGCGCATGTCCTTTGAGCAAAGCATCACCACTGACCCTGAACTGACTAATTATGGTTAGATCTTTAATTCAATAAGATTATTTTTCTGTTATATTGTTTTTGTCATTTTTCATGTGTTTATATGCAACACTTTACTTGGATGACAATTAAAGTTATTACTCTTTAGCTTTTAGGGTTATTTTATAAGCCATGTTTTGTTCTAACAGGTGGCCAGTTTTACTGGGACAAACCGCAAATATATCAAATCAACATCGATGGTGAGTCTGTATTTGTGGGTGGAACTGCCGTTTTTGTGTCCCTGACAAGAGATGATCTTGCTAGAAGAGAGTTCATCAAGGGTGGGGACCTCATACTTCTCCTCTCCATGCAAGGTAGGATTTATGAAGTAACAGAGAACAAGTTCAACTACTGTATTAATAGCGAACAGGGTTTTATTCGAATGATGTTTGGGCATGAATTACATTTCCATTGTGGTTCACTTTCTGAGAGCATCTTTATAAATGTGTCCCAATCCAGATATCTCAGGACTTCTTAAGAAAGACTCTCTTCCCTGCCCTAAAGTTACAGTGAAGAACTTCAACGTTTCTACTGACACAAGTGCACTGAATGAGGGCCGTGTGCCTCAAGGTGAATATCCTTTGATTCTGGTGCACTTTGATTTAGATATCTGCATCTGATCAACACATTACAATTATTGAATTAAGCATGATAATATGGTAATATATCACACTGAAGTAGGCTGATTTAAAATTAAGAACTATTTCAATGAAAAGTTCTTCTTTTGGCAAAATTAAATTTCCTTTATAGCCTAAACAGAGGCTTTACTCCCTTTAAACTTAAATTGTCAATGTTTAATTTTTGAAAACACTCTTATCAGAATCATTTCCCACTAATTTTATTTAATGTATGCTCTAAATTTCATTTCAAATTCTTATTTTATTAATCCATTCAATTAAAATAATAATATATAGGCTGTTACCAATCAAATTAAATAATTTACATTGAAAATTATAACTGTATTAAATGAGATTATGAGATTGTTTTAATATACAAATAAGGATTGTCTAAAAGAATAATACTTTGAAACTAAACCGCCAGTAGGAGACAGCAGCGGCCTCTTAATGAGCGAGTCATTGAGTCATTCATTTAAATGATTCGTTCAAACGGCTGATTCATTCAGAATGAGGCAGTTTAATAATGGGTAATTGAATCTTTGACTCGAGCGATTAGTTCAAAACGCTGAATCGCTCAGTAATGAATCATAGGTGAGTGTTGCGGTGACATGCGCTGTTGTTTGGAACTATTTCCGCTGCTGAAACAGAACAAAAACAGTCATTGCGTCTAAAAATGTAAGTAACTTAATATGAACTATTTTATTTGTCTATTGAACTTATGAAATCAATATCTTGGTTTCAATTGTGATGGCATTCAGGAAAACAGCACGCTGGTCGTGTGTAGCCTATTTATTGTTTCTTAACTGTAAATTAATATGTTATAAATAACTGCGCGAGCCTCAACAGCGCAACTTTGTTACCGCCCGGACTCTGTACATCAGCAGCAGCACCACAACAACCATAGACATATACACTAGACCTCACCTTTGGGTTCTAAGCATGCGTCAAAATCGCCGCCATCTTGGAACAGGGGTCTTGTCATAGGAAGTAGCTAGGTAACGCTGCTATCTCTGCCTTTACTTCGAATTCATTGATGGTGGCGGACTTTTGTGCAGCGTATGATGTTCACGGATGAAATCTGAACTAGGAATAATGTTGTTTTTTTTTTTTTTAAATTCTTTCTGGAATCAATGATAAATACATGTCTGACCGTTGGAACAAACCAATAAAACAAGAAAAATCGCATTCATGATGATTTATGGTGATTTTATTTCCGTTAGACCTGTGTCTACTACATTGACGCTCATGCATTAAAGTGGACAAAATTTTAAAATGAACCAGTTCAGTTCATAGTCCATACTTAACAATTTTGAACCAAGTTCACACAGTTCCAAAAAATGAACCAGTTTATAGTTCTTTTTTTTCCATATGTTGCTGTGAGCATTTTTTATTTGTATTTTTTATTATTGCCACAGCCTATATACATCCGCTGACAGCAAGTATTTTATCAGCAGGCAAAGTTTGCACAGAAATATCAGATTTTTCCCATCCTCACCGACCTCGTCTTAAAGAGCCCCTATCATAGCATTTGAAATGTTCCTATTTTTGTTTTAGGAGTTCCCAAAAACAGTTTAACATGCATGCAAGGATAAAAAACACTTTTTTCTTATAATATGCATTTATTTTTACCTGATTTGCTCACCGACTCCCAAATGATTCGTACAACGATTCATTTTTCCAAACCACTCCTTTGCGTGACGCTAATCGGCGGTGATTGGTCAGATGACAGACCCAGTCAGTTATTGTTTGTTAGCATAAAGCATAAACATATTGATAAAGCACTGCAGTACTACAAGACGCTCTATTCTCCAATAACAGCGACAAACATTTCACATATTTAAAAGAAATTGACATTGGAGACCAAGAAGCTGCGCAGAGCGTAACTTACACACACACACACACATACACACACACGCATACTTATCGCGCCTTCCCTCCTCGCGCCCGACGCTACAAAACCGTTCAAAACCCATAAAAGCAACAATTATTAATAATACTTACAGGTTTTGATTCGAAGGAGGAAGCTGATCCATATACACTGGGTAAGTAAGTTACTGAGCCCTCCTTCATGAACAACCGCTTGCGAATCCACATTTGAACTCATTTATGTTTTTGAACGATTCGTAATTAAAATGATGAAAACACAATCGATCTATACTGTTGTGGTATCGTTGCAAATATGAACTCTAACCACCGATTCTTCACATGCTCGTCCCTGGTAAATGAAAACAAAGTGGCTGAACTATCTTTGCATTGTAGAACACAGCGTCTTCTCCACATGATGCTATTCAGCTGAAGTATTTGAATGTGTAGCAAGTTTACACTTCCATCTGAGCGCGCAGTAACTGGGCGTGGCCAATATGTCTCTACGTCACGATGTAACAGCTAATGACTCGTTTCAAAAACAATTCATTTCATAGACTCAGAGTCGACTCTCACTTTTGAAAGACAATAACTTTATATACGGTGCACTTTCAGATATAAATCTTTGCAGGATGTTTTCATTCCCTTAGAGCTATAGTCCACACCATATGAACAGTCATTTTCAAAAATCCATGATAGGGGCTCTTTAAAACTTGTGTAAATGATCATACGACGCCCTTCGCTGCTTTGTCGACTACATGCTGCTTTTAGTGACGCTGCTGGTGGCTGGTGTTGCCAAAATGGGTGTTTTACTGTTACATGTTAAGGCCTGTTTCCGTGTGATTTTTTGCCGGGTTTTCGCCTGGAAGGCTCTATAGAAATCTGGATATAATATAATATATATAATATTGAACGAAGTTAAACTGAGAGAGTGTGCGTTCACAGACACCAGAATGAACGTGTTCACAGTAACATTCATCAGGCAGTAATACAGTACGTTCAGCTCACGTTCGCCCAAAATATGAACGAATTCATGAACTATCGCTCAATGAATGTGTTTAGGCACAACACTGTCCACTGTGTGAATAAAAAAATGAAAAAAACAGGTGAAGCATGACTTGCATAACTTGGAGAAGGTGTTCAGAGTGAAAATGATGCATCTGATGATAAAACTCTAACAGTATTTTTGTTTGTTTCTTAGAGCCCCTTCCACACCTCAGCCGATCTACACGACAACATCTAGCACTACAACATCGAGCACTACAGCTCCACCAGGGCCCACTGAGCGGTAAGACTACAACATTAGTTTAAACTAATTCATGAATAAACCATAAATAGGGCTGGGTATTCACACACAGGTCCCAATTCAGTTCGGTTCCAGCTCACACGCTTTGACTAACTTTGATTTGATTATGATGATGGATGTGTTTAAGTTACAATCTCTATTTGCTTCATTTATGAATTGGTTTTAAACAACTGAGTATATCCAAAAATGTTTCCAAAGCGTCTCTGACAGATTGAGTGAGTTGAATTAGAGAAGGATTTGTGTCCTCCGAGTGATTCAAACAGTCTGTCATTGATATTTACTAACAGAACTGCCTCAAAAGAGTTGTTTATTTGTTGAGTGTTTTATTCCATGCACGTTATAAATATATATATGCAATTAAATCTGTATTTTTCTATTTCCTTTATAATGTTGATCTTCCCATGTGTTCCTCTTGTAGTGAATGTGTGGACATCTTTTGCAACTCCAGTACCAAGACTGCTTCCTCTCTGATCATCTTGCTGCTTTGCTTTCTTTTGCTGGAGATTTGATCATGACGAATCCCCATTATCACGGCTCTATGTCTGACTGCACAAGATTTCAGTGTCTTCAGCCTTAAGTGTGTATTGTTAATTAAAGGGGATGCTCTCATATAATCTACAGTCAATCAGCTTTAATCATAACAGTTACCAATATATCGTCATTTTGAGATCTTATTGTAATCATAATGTGTGTTTCATGTATTCTCTCTAGAGGTGTTGAGGTAAACATTTAAAAATATTTGAGTCTTTTCTACGTATAAATCACTGCATGAATATTATCGGTCAAGGTTTGATTTTAATATTGGTGGACAGTTTCATGTCATCAACAGCTTGATGTAACCAACTTGACTCATAATTAATAACACAATTTTGATTGTTAAACTACTACTTTGTGTACTTTATGATATAATATCTAAATAATTAAAGGTGATGAGGACATGTCAAGGATCTAAAGCTTTTCAATAACAACGTGTGTGTTTTACTCTCAGAAAGCAACCATACATTGGTCCTGTTTTTATTTCCTTTTATAGTGTATTTCATAATTATTAGTAATGTTGTAATTTACCATTTATCATATTATTATTTGATTTACATAATTTATTCATATTGTGGCACTTTGTCCAGTATTAAGGGATATTCAAATTAAATGACCCATCATACCATTGATCAGCTCTACCAAACTTGGATGTCTTTTTTCTAGTAATAAACAAACACTGTTAAGATGTTTTGATTGATATTGTGAAGCAACTTTGATACAATCTGTATTGTGAAAAGCGATATATAAATATATTTGACTTGACTATTAAAACAACACCAGTAGTGGCACTAAATAGAGATATTCCCAGTAAATCGAGGTCGGTCAATCACAGGTCATCGAGTGTACTGACACACTGCGCCACGTATTAGACAGCGGTGGAACGTTTTAACACAATTCATTCAGAAACACAATTTGGTAAATTACACAGTTGGTCTCTTTAATATACAAACAGTTAAATAAATAGGCCTACATCAATCACATAACATTTGTGATTTGACACACACACTTCCACCTCAGAACTCGGGGATTTGTGTTGCCTATCCAGTAAACAGCAACTACACGTGCACCTCACATTCGGGCTCTTGCTTTTATTGTCTCAAAAGCCTAAGAAAGTGATATGATTTCAGCACAAAAAACATTGTGGAATAAAATTGCATGATTGGTCATTAAAATATTGTGATCTTGATTTAAACACCCATCCAAACGTACTCCTAAATTTGCGGTTCGGCTCGGTAGATTAAACATTTGAGAAGTACGATCACAGCTAACTTTCAGATCTGCGTTCTGAGCCAGAAAGAGCCGTTAATCTATGAAACACAACGTCTTTTAAACCCTCAACTAATTTTGGCTTTGTGGTCCACTTCCTTAGGCAAAACGTAAGTTCTTACAGCTCACACAAACGGTCTCTTTCAATGTTATTACAAATATTCATATTGTCACAGAGGGATAAAAGTTTATAGTTCGGATATAAACACTGGAGTGATCAAAATAGAGTAAATCACATTTTGAAAAAGATCCTTCATAACGATTGTATTAATTAAATCCTACACCACCAGGTGGTGACAACCCAGATAGCAAACTGACATTGAATCAACGTGGAAATATGACATCGAAACAACGTTGATCTGACATTGTTTTGCTCATCGAATTAACGTTGAACCAACGTCAGACGCGTCATTCTTTCAAAACTAACGGAAAATCAACTTGAAATCAACGCGTTGTTTCAACGTTATGAAAGCAAACCAATTTTCGATTTCATTTAGCTTTGAAGAATGCCGCGTCTGACGTTGGTTCAACGTTAATTCGATGAGCAAATCAACGTTGTTTCAATGTCATGAGAGACGTCGTTTCCACGTTGATTCAATGTCAGTTTGCTGTCTGGGAAGTGACTGTTGAAAATGTGTTTACACTCATAAACGGTAACACTTTATTTAGAAATTTATTTGAGAGATTCTCCTTACTATAATAGTAGGTATGTGGAGTGGACATATCAATAAATAGCGGCCGCCATTGTGTTCCAAATCTCTGTGCCGGATTTTCCCGAATCACTCTGAGCGGGTCTCCTAAAATGCGCTGTTTTCATTGACTCGCTGTGGGAATCCTTGATTATTTTTAGCCAATCACATCATTAGGGTTTTTGACTGCACATTTGTTTTTCAATTTTTTCTAGTCAGGCTGCATTTTCCTCCTGACAGGCGATTTCAAACAATACGGAAGAATTCAACTGTCAAGCCATTTAAACTCCCCCACTTTTTTATGACTACCGCCACTAAACGTTACCTGTAGAAGAGCTGTCAAGATACAGCGCGTCGTGTAGGCTACACTCAACATTTGTGTGGTCTCCTCCACTTTCTTTCCTCCACCAGCGTTAGTATTGTTAACTCTATATTCTTACACTACTGGAAATAGCATGAATCAACCAAAATCCATCTTTTAAATTAAGGATATATAATTTTCCTTGGATCGTTGTTTTCCATTCAATTATTTGTATTTTCAACAACTGCTCGTCAGAAAAATACCATAAAAGATAGGCCAAATCAGTCTTTATGTGTTAAAATCAAGTATAGATCCAAATAACTATATGAAACCCATCTCTACAGAAAATTTCATTAAGATATCTTGAATATTGAGAAAGTTACAATCATTTTTGTGAAAAAAACAACTTGTTTTCGGTCACACTAAATTCTATTGTTTTCACCTTAGAAATGAGACAATAATAGGTGCTGATAACTTTCTGTAACTTTCTTCATAATTGACATATTTACCTTTTTTTTTTTGTAAAGGGGGTACCCAGGTCTTTCCACATATGCTATCCATTTGTCTATTTGTTGAGTTTTAATTTTTTGTCCACATACCTAATAATAGCAGCAACTAACATAAAAAACCTGTCTATCGTTGTCATAATTTTTTCTCCAAAAAATGTTTATGGTAACATCCTCAAAACAAAAAGTTTTATAAAATGATAAATGTCAAATTTCATCTGTTGACACGCAAACCAAGATTATATATGCGCATGTTCTATTAACTTCTGTGATTTCAGCGTGTGGACAGGACTTTTATTTTGGTCTGTTGGTATGACGTCATAAGTCTGCGCTGCATGTTGTGATTCGGCTGAAGAAGAAAGGTTTGTGTGCAAACTATTCTCACAATATTATAGTTTTAACAAGAACGGTTGAATGAATGTTTGATTATAACAATTTAAAGCTTTATATGACTACTTTTACTAATCAGCTTCTGTTAGTTTAGAGTTTTTAGTCTAATCAGATCATTTAAGTCCATTAACTCTCTCTCTGACTGACTCTCTTACCAGTGAACTGAACTCCTGAACTAGATCTGATTGAGACACTTTCAGAGATTTAGTTTAGAGTGTTTTTAGTCTAATCAGATCATTTAAGTCCATTAACTCTCTCTCTGACTGACTCTCTTACCAGTGAACTGAACTACTGAACTAGATCTGATTGAGACACTTTCAGAGATTTAGTTTAGAGTGTTTTTAGTCTAATCAGATCATTTAAGTCCATTAACTCTCTCTCTGACTGACTTTCTTACCAGTGAACTGAGGCTACGTCCACATTAATCCGGATACATTTGAAAACAGGGTTTTCGTTTAAAAACGCTCTCCGTCCACACTAGCGTTTTCAGGTGTTTTCCGACGTTTCAGTGTGGATGAGAAACTTCTAAATTCACTTTACTGCGCATGCGTGAAACTTCACAAAAGTTCACTGAGATGATACAGATGGGAAAATAAATAATAATGTCATCGCACAATAACAGGATAATTTTATTTAGCAAAATATAATTACGGATGCGTCCAGGTTGCATTCATTCACTCTGCTGTTTTGCCGCAGGACAGCAAATGTAAGTACATTATCTGTTATCTTTGCACAGGGATTAAAGTTCTCCGTCGCTACGACGGATTTCCGTTAATTGCAGCGAGTCTATGACGGATATCCGTCAATTCCAGGGTTCCCGTCTGTCCTTATGTCTTAAATTAACTTTTCATAATTTTAAGGCCGTAAATAGGCTTTCATTTCGCAAATAGTGTGATAAATGTCTTAATTTTAGTTTGAATAGGTCTTAAATTAAGGAAAGATGATGCGTATTCACCCTGCTGAGGGGGGATGTGATAAAGCCTGGAGTGGAGCGAAAGCACGTTCCTCTCTCCACTCTCAGCATTCTGTAATCACTTTGCTCATGGTCCACTCCGGTTTTTCAATTCCCGCTCACGGAAAAACTGCTCCCTGCCTTTTCACTCAATCTTGTCAGGCGAGGCTACAGCTCGTTTGCTGCGGTCCCATGATAGAAAACAGAACGCGGGTAAATATTGGTCGTTTCTCAATACCAAGTACGCAAACTTAGGACTTGCGTCCTTGGTAGTTTGGACTTGCCAAGTTCGACTCGGGAGAACAAACTCCCGAGGACGAGAGGACGCTGCTAACAGCGCGTTCTTAATCGCGTCACTCAAGCACGGAAACGATTCTGAAGAGAAAACGCAAAAGTGGCGTTGCGTCATCTTATTTATTCTGCGTTTAGACTAGCGTTTCGTGTGGGAAATCCGCGTGCAAATGGAGACGCAAAAGTGTGTGAAATTCAATGTAGTATGCACTTCAGGCGGCTAGGAGTGCATACTACAACAACACCAAGACCACGCGCCTGCGTACAACCTTCACTGTCAAGCAAACTTTTGCGTTACATGGGAGCGTGGCGGTGGAGCGTTTTCAAGATTTCCACTCTGGAGGGTGGTTTCACTTTTTTGCGTTTTTGAGCCTCAAAAACGCTGTCGCCGTGTAAACGAAAGGCACATCCGCTAAAATATTTTTACGTTTTCACCCGCGAGCGTTCTCGTGTAAACAGGGCCTCAGCACGCGGTTACTCCGGTTATCAATTCTGCCTTTTTTCATCAACACCACTCTGCATCTTTTCATTTATAAATGAACATAATTATTATCATAAACATATAAATGGCCACACAAATGTGGTTCAGGCAACGCACATTGATTATCATATATTTATAACAACGTGAAATATAGCTAAAACACAAACCTGCTTCTTTTTGTTTTCGTTTTAAAAATATGAAACATTATTTATCATTAAAACTGACATTTAACAAACAGACAGGGTTGTATCGTTTTATTGTATTATGCATACATACAGTGAAGAGAATGCATAGTAATATAATATTTTATATATTTTAGAATATATAAAATTACACAACCATGTCTCTTTTTTGTTAAATGTCAGTTTTAATGATAATATCCCGTTCAAAAGTATAAGTAGCCTAATAGGTAGGCTATAATAAGCTATACAATGAGAAATAAAGCAAAAAATTCAGTTAAACATAAGTCAGCTCTCTAATAGGCTACAAAGTTAAAGTTAAAAAGCCTACATAATAAAGTTATAACACTTCACTTTGCCCTCAGCCAAAACGATTTGCCATGGCACAAACTATATATTAATATAGTTTAGCATTGTTTGGTCTCATAAGATAAATAAAAACATGCACTGAAAAATTATGTATGTGGGTGATTATTTGTCAAGATAAGTAATTGTTTTTCATAGATTAAAATAGCTTTTAAATTACGCAAACTGGCAATATTAGATCGGTTTTAAACAGCCTCCCCTTAAAACGCTATTGGTCTCAACTATTTAAATAAAGTTACAGGAATATGACTTGGCCTAAAAAAAATTTCAGTCAGAAGAATTTTTTTCACTTTAATCCCTGCTTTGCAGTACCGTGCTATGAAGAATAGCACATATTAAGTAACATAGAAAGTAACATATTTTAGCAATAGTGTAAAAATGAATAACACATAACAGGCACAATACCGATAAACATGAATATCTATTGGTACTACATGGATCACATGACTAAACTTACGTCATCGTTTTGAAAGACCTCCGGTTTCACTGTCCACACTACAACGCGAAAACAGCGTTTTCAAAATTATCCACTTTGGAGAGCGTTTTCCAAACGATACGTTTTTGGTGACTTAAAACGGCGTTTTAGTGTGGACGGAAGGCCAAAACGGAGAGAAAAATATACGTTTTCAAACGAAAACGTATTAGTGTGGACATTTCTGAACTAGATCTGATTGAGACACTCTCAGAGATTTAGTTTAGAGTGTTTTTCTTTCTGTTAATTATTATCATCTCAAACAGGACGAACACACAGAAAAACTCCTGGTGAAGATCCACGTGACACTATTATAAAGATGGCGTATATTGAAGAGGAGAGTGAAGACTTCAAGATTGAAGAAACATTCAGTGTGAAACAAGAAGAAAATGAGGAACACAAAGGTTGGTTTCATTCTTAAAGCTCAACTCATTAATTTGATCCTATACAACAAGCCAAAAAGACAAGATGGCCTTTGTAAACAGTGAAAATGTAACAAAACAAAATATTACCCTTTTTTGATACACACGAGAGAGAGAGAGAGAGAGAGAGAGAGAGAGAGAGAGAGAGAGAGAGAGACACCGGCGCGATCGAAAAGTGGAGACATAAAAACATACTCCGTCATTTTGTTCATACAGGACAACATTCAATCTGCAAAGTGTTTACTTATATCTGTGTAGGTATATCTATATCTGTATAACAGTGCTTTTATTGCATTGGTTTTCATTTCTTGTCCTCAAAACAGAGCACTAATCTGGCACCTCCAGAAAATCAAATGTGTTGGTAGTAGTATTATTTTATACGGAAATCAATTATTTATAATTCAGATGAGAATAAAGTTAGGGTTAATTAAAATTAAGGAAAACAAATATATTGATCTGAAATATAGCAAATTAATTTTAAATCCATTCAGGTGCAATTACCAAACATATCTCAAGGTCTTTTATCTTTTTATTGGTTTAATTAATAAACGAATTATATAAAACTATTATCAGTGCACTATAAATAAACTGGTTCTATGCCTTTATTAATAAAACTTATTTAAAAAATACAAGGCTTAAGACATTTCTAAAAATGCCTTCTATATTTCTGTTTTACCGAAATCGTACCCAACTGTGATGTCTGAACTGAACCATGACTTCTGTGTACCGTTCCACCCCTAGTATTGTCTTCTTACTATGAATTACGTTAAGCTATGGTAAAAGTGGTACCCCCAGACCTGGAGATCGGCTGAATGGTTTCCTAAATGGTAAAAACAAATGTTTTACTCGAGGGGAGGTGTAAAATGAGCTTAAATCCCCAAATGGTGGTATATCCCTGTAACGTTAGCTAGGCTTTTTGTTAGCCGGGTGCTCTGCCCTGACTTCTTCTTATGATACAGTGCATGTGTAAGATACAAACTTCCGGTTTGGCACGCAAAGATTTTTGACAAGTATACTGATTTTTGTTAAGTCAGGCTCAGAAATGTGTCATTTGCATATTAAAATCACAAAAAAATTGAACAGGGGGAACGTACGACCACAACCCCAACGTCCCGCCACGCCACTATCTGCTTTTTTACTCTGAGGAGTTTGCAGATCTGTCTTTCTGTTCTTTATTCTCGTCTTAAACAGGACAAACACAGAAAAACTCCAGGGGCCTCATGTTCAAAGACTTGCGTTGAATTCATACTAAAATATTGCGTACGAACAAAGCTGTAAATGTGCGTACGCACAAAAAAAAACAGATGTATGAATCTCTGCGTACGAAGGATCCCACGCATATTCTCTTTGTACATCCCAATTAACGTAAAATTGAGCGCACATGCACGAGCAAAACGCCCCACCCAGTCTCCTCCCCAAATTAAATTAATTTAAATATGGTAATTAGTCCAATTTGGTAAAAGAAACCTGCAAGAACATGGCTAAAGCAAGCAAAAAACGAAATTTCACTGAAAATGAATTAGAGGTGCTACTATCAGAGGTAGAAACAAGAAAAAATGTTTTATTTGGAACTTTGTCCTCTGGAATTAATAACAAAAGAAAGAAAAAAGAGTGGGAGAGTTTGTCTGAAGCAGTCAACCAGGTGGGATCTGAGAGTCGCACCGTAAATGAACTTAAGAAAAAATGGTCTGACATAAAGGTGGAAGTTAAGCGGAGAACTGCTGCGCACCGACAAAGTGTGGGCAGAACAGGCGGTGGTACAGGGGCCGATGAACTTACACCCTTTGATCAGAGAGTTGCCTCTATTGTAGGAGACACGTTAATCTCTGGAATCGTGTCCGTTGATGTGGGAGACTCAGATATGATACAGAACTGCCAGCAAGGTGACTAATTTAAAATGTATTTTTTTAAACTTGGATACATACTAGCCACCATTTAATTTTAAAATGCATGCAATGTACCAAAATGTACACCAGAGATTTTACGTATCCATCCACTGCTTTTATTGCAAATGCGTGTACCCATAAGGAACAGATTCAAATTACTGTTAACATGTGCCTTTGTTTATTTAGACTTAGGAACCACAGGAACAACAGCAGGAACGTCCACTGGCACGCACTCAGAGTCCGCACCACCCGAGCAGCCAGAGCCCATTCAGTCCAGCGTCTCCGGTGTCTCTAATGCTCCCCCCAGTGCTGAAGCCCGTCCATCTGGCCGCGTCTTAACGCATGCTGTTCTGGAGTCACAACAGCAAATTGTTCGGGCCATTGGAGAAATGAACAGTCACCTGAAAAATGTCACTGACGCACTCACAGAAATAAGCAACTCATTAAAGCAATTGGTCAAAAAATGAACTTTGTGTCTGAGTACCTTTTATATTGTTGCAATTACACGTTGACGGGCCTGAATGGCTTGTTGATTGTGCTGCACATATGCTGGTCCTGGGTCAGTGTCATCTGGCAATGCCACCACCTCACCAAGGGGTATGCCATGCCTGTGCGCGACATTGTGCAGCACTCCGCAGGCCAGTATGATGCGGCAAACCTTGTCAGGGCGGTATAACAGCATTCCCCCGGTCCTGTCAAGGCAGCGCCACCGACATTTCAGCTGCCCAATTGCTCGCTCCACAACTGACCGAGTGCGAGAATGGGCATCATTGTATCTGCGCTCTCGCTCAGTTTGTGGGTTGGTGAGGGGGGTTAACAGCCACGTCTTTAGTGGATAACCACTGTCTCCTGATGGGCAGTTGAATAATCACACACACAAATTTAACTTTTAGATAGAACCATACATTTAAATGCATAACTTACCAAGTAGCCACCCATCGCACACCCTGCCAGCTTGGAGTCTCATCCCAACCATGCTGTTTGTAAGGATATATGAATCGTGTGTTGCCCCAGGCCACCTTGCCACAATATTTGTAAGGCGCATTTGTGCATCACATATAATCTGCACATTTATTGAATGAAAATGTTTCCGATTCACATATGCAAATTCTTCTTCAGATGGCGCCCTTATAGCAATATGTGTGCAGTCGATCGCTCCGATTACATTAGGAAAACCGGCTATCGCTGCAAATTGCGCTTTAATGTTTGGCTGGTCACCTGCATCGTATGGGAACATTATATACCTGGTAGACAAGCGGATGATCCCGTCCCATACAGCTGGCATTGCACGGCTCAAACACGACTGGCTTATTCCTGAGCGGTCTGCCAGTTCTCTTTGAAAAGAACCAGTTGCCAGGAAACCAAGTGTAGTAAGCACCTGTAAAGGAACCGGTAATGCGTGGCTCCTCATTGTCTCTCTTTCTAAATTCGGACCCAACTCAGCGCAGAGCTCCAAGAGAATAGCCCTTGGAAATCTGAAACGGCTGATAAGCCAGTCATCATCGTGGGCCAGAAAATCATTGTAGTCCCTAAAAATTCGTTCTCTCCGGATTCGTCCATTCAAAATGTCCTCTAATAAAGCCAACGCTGCCATTGCTAGACGGGTTGTATCAATTTGCACACGCTTTATATATGTTCTTACTTAATTGCATAATTGATAGAATATTTTAAGACTCGTGTGACAATAATATGTAAAATAATTTATCAATTACAAATTATAAGCAATATCTGACAGCTGGTGATGCGATAGAACAATTCTTAGTGTAATGTTTGCCACTTCACTTTATTGCCTCTATGAGTCGCCAACGGACAAAAATCACGACAAATGTACGTACGCCAGACATGAAGTTTACTTGGAGGAACGCACATTCTTACGTTAATTTCACTGTTAGTACATCTGGCCGTGAACGTGAAAGCTGGCGTACGCCGTGTTTTTGTGCGTACGCAGTGTTGATACATGAGGCCCCTGGTGAAGATCCATGTGACACTATTATAAAGATGGCATTTATAAGAGGAGAGTGAAGACTTCAAGATTGAAGAAACATTCAGTGTGAAACAAGAAGAGACTGAGGAACACAAAGGTTGGTTTCATTCTCAAAGCTGAACTCAGTCATTTGATCCTTATTAAAATGTCCAGCTCTACGAATGAGTGATATATTTTGTGAGTCTTAATTAAACTTAAACACCTAACAATAATGAGATGATAATGAGTGGGGGAAGTATGGGACCCATTGGTCTAAATGTTTTCTACCGTCTCAAACAGTACAGTGTTGGCACTTGCAACGCCAAGGTCATGGGTTTGATTCCCAGGGAAAGCAAAAACTGATAAGAATGTAAATGTGTACCTTGAAATCCAATGTAAGTGGCTTTGGATAAAAGCATCTTGTATGCGTAAATGTTGCTATATTTGTCATGTAGCGCCATTAAACTTGAGTTAACTTGTATTTTGCCTCTGTTCACCTTAGGCCTGATGCCGCTGAAAATGGAAAGTGAAGTATTGAATGAAAAGGAAAATAAAGATCATGAAGACCTAACTGAAGAAAAATCTATTAATTGATCACAGACTGAAAAGACTTCCACACTAAAAAAAGGCTCAGAAGACAGAAACTAGAACTCTCACCTGCTCTCAGTGTGGAAAGAGATTCAATCTACATGGAGACCTTAAAAGACACACGAGAGGTCACACTGGAGAGACACCCTTCATCTGCCAAAAGCGTGGAAAGAGTTTGACTCAAATCGAAAGACTTAAAGGACACACAAGAGTTCACACTAAAGAGAAGCCTTTTACCTGCCAACAATGTGGAAAAACATTCACTCAAAACGTAAGCCTTAAAGTCCACATGAGAATTCACACTGGAGAGAAGCCTTTCACATGTCAACAGTGTGGAAAGAGTTTCAGTATACAAGCAAACCTTTAAGTCTACATGAGAATTCACACTGGAGAAAAGCCTTTTACCTGCAAACAGTGTGGAAAGAGTTTCAGATTTAAAGCAAACATCAAAGTCCACATGAGAATTCACACTGGAGAAAAGCCGTTCACCTGCCAACAGTGTGGAAAGAGTTTCAGAGCTAAAGTAAACCTTAATTGTCACATGAGAATTCACTAAATAAAGGACTGTTATATATGTCATAAGTTTGAAAGACTATCGTTTTGATTGTGTATATTTATTTTTCGCAGATGTTTTTTTTGACTTGTTTTTGATTATGGTAGGGAACAAAAGGGAAAGGGAGTAGGTTATTGGAGCATTGTTTGAATATGTGTGTTTACGAATAAGCAACATGGCATCATGACTTTTGCGTAAACATACACGCCACTTTCAAGTCAAATGGTGTGTTATCTATACACGTTTTGAGCTATCCGTGTGTATGCGTGTATGTCTACGCCGTTAAATGTCCGAGTGATTCCACGTGTATGTACATGCCGTTAAACGTCCGAGCGAAACAAAGCAAAATGAAGATCTACATCTGGGGAGCGACATTTTTTTTCCTAGGACGGTAGGGGAAGACTCATAAATGCTATTAACCCCAGTGACGGGTAGGTTTAGAGTTTAGGTTTTATTTATTTATTTATTTATTTTATTTGTAGAAAAAGACAAAAGGGACAATACATATTAATGAACATTTTTCACAAATGTAAATATGCCAGATTATAGCCATAGGCTAATTTCCATCTGCAGACCCCCAAGCAGGTAGATGTTACACAAATACTTACAGACACACTATGCACAGGCTATATACAGAGAAGCAAGGACAATAACAGTGATCACAACATAATAGGACAAGCCATATTGCACAGACCCCTTTTACACCACCCATGCTATCCTAACTCCTATTACACAACCCATTTCACACTGATAATTCTATCCTCTTTAGTTTTATAAAATACTAACTCTATTTTACATCAGATATGTAGACTACTGATTACTAAACATGCTCACATATTTGTGTGTCCCTCAACCATACTTTTAAACGACTCCTAAAAATAGGAAAACTTGTGCTTTCCCTCAATGACTGAGGAATACTATTCCAGGAGCTCACCCCCTGGTATGATAGAGCCTTCTGTGAAAAGGCGGTTCGCCTAAACGGCAAGTCACAGTCCCCTCTCATAGTGGCTCTAGTTACTCGAAACCCGACAGCACTGATAGACTTTTGTTTGATAAAATCACTTAATGGTGGAGGCGCCAGACCATGTATAACCTTATAGATTAGACAGGCTGATTTAAAAAATTTGAAATTCGCTAAATTTAAAAACTTATATTTATCTAGAATATTACAATGATGATATGATGAAGGTTTCTTATCTAATATTTTCAATGCTCTTTTGTAGCATACTTCAATTGGTCCAATAGCAGCATAACTCGTATAAGACCAACTTGTGATACAGTACTCAATATGAGCCAGAATCATAGAGTGCAAGAACGTGATCGCTGCTGCATCTGTTAATGATGTACGAATCTGTTCAAAGTTCCGTAAATTAACATTTACAGTTTTCACAACTTTTTTGACGTGTTTTTTAAAAGTTAATTTAGAGTCTATCGGAACTCCCAGATACCTAAATTCCTCAACGTTAATTAATTCTTGTCCACCCAGGCAAACTTTTACTTTGGCCACAGTTGTTTTAGGTTTACTAAAAAACATTGATACAGTCTTTTTAACATTAAGACACGAGCATGAATCATTCAGCCATTTCTGCAAATCATTTAAAGCAAATGAAAGCTGATGGGCTGCATCATCAGCACTTTTGGCATGTGTAAAAATTACCGTATCATCAGCATACATAATCGTGTCGACATTTTTGCACACATTAGGCAAACTATTCACATACAGTGAAAATAGCAGAGGTCCTAAGATCGATCCCTGTGGAACACCCTGTGTATATTGAAGGTAGGGTGACTTACAATTCTTTATTTGCACACATTGTTTTCTGTCCGATAAATAAGACTGTATCCATTTAACTGTTTGATTACTAAAGCCAAATGTTAACAGTCTAGACAAGAGCTTAAAGTGATTCACAGTGTCAAACGCACGCTTAAAATCAACAAAAACAGCGGCAACATAACTGTTTTTATCTAAATAAAACTTCACCTTCTCGACAAAAACACAAACAGCCATTTCAGTTGAGTGAAGATTTCAAAATCCAAATTGCATAGGGTGCAGACCCGGATTGGAATCATTTAGATGTTCAATGATCGACTTGGCAACCCATTTCTCTGCTATCTTAGAAAAGATAGGAAGTATGCTAATAGGTCGATAATTAGCAGGGTCTAATTTATCACCCGATTTATATATTGGTATGACATTTGCAACCTTACAACTGAAGGAGACGACTGCCTGTGTGATTGACAAATTAACAAGATGGGTCACAGGCACCAAAATACAAGATTTTAAAAGCTTCAAAAGATTGGTATCAAATCCAAACACATTCCTTGCTTTTGAATTTTTCAATTTAGAGATTATGTTATCTACTTCATTTTCTGTAATTATTTGAATATTAAACTTAGAATTTAGAGTTATGGCATCATAAGGGTCAGTGTGGACAATATTTTTTTGAGAGTCACAAGAGCTAGAAAACAATTGAGCTATCTCATCAATAGTATTTTGAAAATAATCATATAATCTAGTTGCTAGGGTGAGAGGCTCTGATACCAATTCATTAGCAAATTTGAGTTCGAAGTCTTTATCAGCAATATGCTTACTTTTACCAAGGAGTTTGTTAATATTTTCCCAAATCAATTTACAATTTCCTTTGGCACCATTAATTACAGACATGAAGAAATTTGCTTTTGCCATTCTCAAAGTTTGTGTGACTTTATTTCTTGCAGATACAAAATTTAATCGGTCAGTAGTTAATCCAGATTCTAATGATTTTTTTAGTAATTTATCTCTGAGTGTCATAAGCTGTTTACATTCACTATTGATCCATGGCAAGGAATAAACTCGTTTCTTTAAATGACCAACTTTCTGAAACTGAGATAGAACCATTTTAATAGAAGAGTAAATTAGATCACAACATTGATTGGTGTCATCACATAATACTATACTAGACCAATCAAAAGCATTTAGAGCTGCAATTAAGCATTGTTCTTGGTTCTTTGGAATAAAGTTTGTTTCACTTTAATGTTTTTACTGACACTTCTCAATCGTTTTTTAGTGAGCTTTCTAGAAAAGAATATGGCATTGTGGTCAGACAAGCCAGTCAAGAAATTGTACGTTTTTATTAATCTGTCCGGTTTGTTAGAGAACACAAGGTCTATCAAGGTTTTAGAACAATTTGTTATTCTAGTGGGATCACTGATCATTTGTGTTATTCCAAAATTATCTGTAATTTCTTTCGGTTTCTTTCTGTCACTTTTGTTGTCCCAATTTACATTTAAGTCTCCCAATTGAATAACCTCATTATTAAAGTCACAACAACTCAGAAGTGCTTTAAATTGATCATAAAAATCTACTTTTGCTGACGGTGGACGATAAAGACATAGAATAGTAAATGACATTTCTGTTGAAAGTGACACTTTAACTCCAACACATTCAATTGATATTTCATTAGGCCAAATTATTTGTGTACATTTTAAAGAGTCCTTCATATACATTAACACCCCTCCTCCCTTCCCTTGATGCCTATCCTCCACCTTTCTGAAAGTCCTAAGAAATCCACATTAGAGTTAATGAGAAGATGCTCTAATTGTTCCCTCTTAGGGGCCATACTGTGTATATTCAGATGGCCACCTAGGAGCCCTTTATTTTTACAGTGTGGATCCCAAATAGTCCTGGCTTGATTAAGAGTCTGAAATAACTTACATGATCAATGTTTTTTAAATACCGGGTTCCTTAGTGTGCATATGGATTTGCTGCATTGTGGAGACGTACTGGACTTAGTTGTAACAGAATCCTGTAGTGGTGGTATTTGCCCAGGTAGATGCTGTAAACCAGATAGCAGTGATGGAATTAGCCCAGGTGGCCACTGTAACCCTGGTAGCGGAGGTTGTATTAGCCCAGAGAACTGCTGTAGTCCAGGTAGCAGTGATGGTATTAGCTCAGGTAGCTGCTGAGGCCCAGGTAGCTGAGGTTGAGTTTGCCCAGGGAACTGCTGTAACCCAGGTAGCAATGGTAGCAATGATGGTATTAGCCCAGGTAGCTGCTGAAGCCCAGGTAGCTGAGGTTGAATTTGCCCAGGGAACTGCTGTAACCCAGGTAGCAGTGATGGTATTAGCCCAGGTAGCTGCTGAGGCCCAGGTAGCTGAGGTTGAGTTTGCCCAGGGAACTGCTGTAACCCAGGTAGCAATGGTAGCAATGATGGTATTAGCCCAGGTAGCTGCTGAAGCCCAGGTAGCTGAGGTTGAATTTGCCCAGGGAACTGCTGTAACCCTGGTAGCAATGGTAGCAATGGTGGTATTAGCCCAGGTAGCTGCTGCAACCCAGGTAGAAGAGAAGGAATTAGCCCAGGCATCTGCTGAGGTGGTATTAACCCAGGGAGCTGCTGTAATCCAGGTAGCTGTGGTGGTGTTAGCACAAAGAGCTGCTGTAGGCCAGGTAGCAGAGGTGGTGTTAGCCAAGAAAGCAGCTGTAGTTGTGTCACAGGACTTAAAACAGGACCAGGATTTTGTTCAACATCACCAGCCAGAAGTAGTATCATCAAAAGATTCAAAACCCCAGGGAATGATCTAGATGCTGTTTGATCAAGTTTACCAAGTTTACCTGGGGGCGGTCTAGCATGCCCACAATCCAGGACTCTTGCATACAACAGATGTTGACTCCTCTTTGCTGGATAGAGAGTTAAGTCATCCATTTTCCTTGGACATGTTAAACTCAAGA